GGCATGTGCAAGATTTGAGGACTGACTGGAGACCATTGCACAAAGCCAGCACCTCCAAAGGTGACAACCACTATCAGTGAACTAGTGAAACCACAATTTGCAAAGTTAGAAACTGGGGATGCTTGATTGTCTTGGCTATGGTTTTGGGTAGAGCAGAAAAAAATAGAAAAGTCTTTGTTCATGATTTCTGAACCCAAACCCTCCTTCCAGTAGGTTTGGCATCAAATTCAAATGTACAGTGTCATCTAGAAGTCCTCAAGCAAAGCTTTAGCATGTAGTGGTCCCTGATTTGTAGTCCCCAAGTACTTAGGGGAGAAAACACAAGTTCTCTCTGTAGGAAAGAACATTAAAACCATTCCACAAAGATGTTCCTCAAGTTCAAAAATTATAAATTTAGAATCTTTTAAAATCATAAAATATTTGAGCAAACAAGCCTACATTATTGACCTTAAACAGAAGAATCAAACTAATGAGTGATGCCCACGAAGACTATAAGCAGGAATAATCAGGTGGAGAATATAAAATTACTGTGTTTATAGTGTTTCAGAGATAGTTTTTGAGGTGGTTAAGTTAAAAAGCAGATTCAATAAAGCTGAAGAGAGAATTATTAAAATGGAACATCAATATGAAAAAATATGCAGAATCACAGTGATAGAAAGAAAAAAATATGACAGTAATGAGATATGGAGGGCAGAGTCAAAATAAATATGTTTACTAGGAGTGTAAGGCTTACCTTTGATTTCCTTGACAGGGAATAGAGGAGAGCAATATTCAAAGAGATAATGGGTGACTTTTTTCTAAAAATGATCTTTAGTGTCAATAAATTACACATAAAAATTAAAAATAGATCTAAATGTACTTCAGAATATGAAAGATAGAGAAAATCTTACAAACTGCTAAAGGTAATTCTACTACTCATTTATTGGCATACTGTATAGCTTTTTAAACATTTTTCTAGGGAGCAGTAACTTTTTAAAGCTTTTGGTATGTGGATCTTCTCTTGATTAGATCATGGAGCCTCTTCTGCTCTGAATTTTTGTATTTTATTGGCAAATCATAGCAATAATGTCTGAAAGTTTGTGTGTGTGGGGTTGGGGGTAGCCACCTCTGCTTTCAATGCCAAATCTTCATCAGAAATCACATCATTACATGCTTTGTGTTTTGCTTTTTTCCCACCTATCATTAAGTCATAAGAATTTTCCGTATTGGTATAGGTTGTTATAATTATTTTAATGGCTTCATTATATCCCATCAGATTTATTCCATTGTAATTTCATCAGCCATTTCTTCTTTATTAGATATTTAGGGTTTTATTTCCTTGAAATTTTGATTATTATATATAATCTTGGTGTAGTATACATTTTATGCATATAGCTTCACTTTTATTTTGAACAGTTCCTTAGGAAAAATTCCCAGAAGTGATATTATCATGTCAAATGCCATTGTATTTTGACAGTGCCAGCTTTTATCATAAGAGCACTAAGTATCATAATTTTGAATATATGTCTACCAATTTTCTGGGTGTAAGAGGCATTTTTATCAAAATAATAAAATAGAATGTTTTTCGTTATTTGTTTATTAATTGTTTTTCCTCTTTTGCCTACAATTGATCAGTACTTATGCTTTTTCGATGTATCTTTTGTGGGCCCTATATTTGTCTTATGATATGTAATTTTCTGCAATAACACAAATATTCTTCCCCTATCAATGATGTTAAAAATTATGAGATGATGAGGGTAGTAGTCAATTTTAGAGTCAAATGTACATATGAATTTGATTTCTTTTGGGGTGGGTTATCAAGAAAAAAATTCTTAAAGCATGTGAAAAATTGTGCCTTTGAGTTTGCTTTTGAATATGATATGTAGAGAAGGATCTATACTTTCTAGCAACATTTGTATCTAATATTGGTGTGACAGACATTGTTGGCTCACCTGGCACTCATTTCTAACACTCTTCTCTCTTACCTGTTTCTTTTGAACATTTTGAACAAGCTACAATATTTAGTTCCCAGACTATTGTAAAGCTGGACTTAGCTCTAATACACAGTCCTGGCAAGAGTTTGCTGGTGTCTCCTTCCTCCGTTTTCTTTCTTCTCTCTTAAATGATGATGCACTGGCTGGAACAACAGCAGCCACCTTGCAATCATGATGGGAAAACCAGCAGAATGTCAGACAGTGTGGCCCTGATTTTGTTAAGACACTGAAATAATGCCATGAACTTCCTAATGCTAAAACTACTAAGTTTGAAAAATAAACCCCCTTTTTTATTTAAACCACTATCATCTGGCTTTCTGCCATTGACTGTGGAGAAAAATTTCTATTAATACAGTCAGGGAAGGAGGGGAGTTGGGTCTTTATTTTATTAAGACTCACTTTTAAACTAATCCAAGCCAGCTTTCTTTGTAACTTGCTACTGTGAATCCGTGATAACTGATCAAAATAGAGATAAGAATTTCTAAATTTTATCTGTTTCCTGGATCATTTCCAGAGATGTGAATGTGTCACCTTCTAGAGCAAAAATAAAATTAAATTAAAATTTAAAATATGCTTATAACTTTTGACCAATGGGAACATAATTTAAAGGCATTCCTATACTTGCTATCCAGAGAAGTCAAGTTCAAGTTGACAAATATAATATGTATCCAAGAGAGAATCCATTCTTGCCTCTCCATATCCATTCACTTATAGCCATTACTTATTCATTTATCACATATGTAGGATATGCCATATGACAGGCTGTATGGTCCAGGCCAGGGTTGTAAAGAAACAGATCCGCTCAGTCCTTGCCTTTAAGGATTTTACTTCCAAGCTGAGTGTGGGAAGTGAGAGGATGCCATTCAGATAAACAAATATCTTTAACGCTGTGTGAGAATGAAAAGAATAGAGTAGTAAAAAGAGATATTAATAGTAGAGGACAAAATGGAGTAAGTGACTTGTCCAAGACCCCATAGTCAATAAATGGTAAAAGTTCCCTTATTCAAGGTCTTCTGGACTAGGCTTTTTATGATACTAATCATTGCCTGAAATAAATGGACCAATATCTGGGATACAGAAATACTTTTGCCTTATGCAAATGCTATTATTTTGGCTGTTGTTGTATAGAAGTTGACTGGTATGAAGGAATAACCCCTGACCTATCAATATGGCTCACGTTGTGAAATTTATTTCCCCCAAGTACTTGTCCTTCTTTCAACCTTCAGAAACCTGTTATGTGCTCTGCTAGATGCTAGGGTTGTACTTGTGTATCAGGCGTGCTGCCTGCCCTGAGGGGCCGAAGTCTTGTTCGTGTTCTCCTTGTCTACTCTCCCTTGCCACCAGTGAGGGGACTGACTGAAGAGGAGGGCGTGACTTGACTTCATTTCTTTCAACCAAGCCAGCCATTCTAGAAAGAAGAAAAGCAGCCAGGAAAACATAGTGGAGGAAAAGAATTAGACCTTAGAGCTTTAGCACGTGAAAAGAAACTGAGACTTTTCTCTCTTTTTATAAAGTGATCTTTTCTATTGACTTAAGAAAAATAACTTGTTAAACATCTGTCTTTCCCCTCCGACTGGTGTTGTTTACAGAGAAACAAACTTCTCTTAACTCTGAAGTAATGTCTCCTTCCTTTAGGAAAACAGGTGCCAAATATAGAGCAAATCAGATTTTCGAACAGCTGAAATAAACTGGAGGACTTTCCACTTTCCTTTATCCTTTTACCTAGAAATTTTTTGTGTGAGGCTTACAATTTCCCAGTTTGGAATTTTGTTTTTCCTTGGGATCCTTATGACTAATATTTTTTCAGTTGTTACTGTCCCTTCCCCGTCCTCCATATTACTGTTATTTGGATGTGAAAATCTTTTTTTTTTTTAAATTCAACCCTTGATTCTTTTTCATTTAAGAGAAATGTACTTTGTAAATATGAAGAACTCAGGATCACATTGAATTCTGTCATATCAAATCTCTTTATTAGAAAGAAGGAAAGAGAAATTCAGCTAATATTGATCAACACATGGGGACTTTGAAATATTCCTTATCTCTATGCCAAAGTATATGGAGGGAAGAATTCGCATCCTATTTTACAGATGAGAAAATCAAGCCTAATAGAGTTCGCTCAGTCTGAGATCACACAGTCAGAAAATAGTGAAATTAGGATTCAAACTCAATTCCTATGTAATTTTAAAAACCATGCACTTTCTACCTCCCCACGTAATAGAGTCCTCCCTAGTCTATGTAGGACTTTACGTTGCGTAGTCAAGTCACAACTCACAGATTAGTCTCTATTACTTACTAGCTGTGAGGCTGTGGATAAAGCTTCCGTTCTATGGGTCTGAAGCTCCTTTTCGGTAGAATGAAGAAAACAACAATGCCTACCTCATAGGGCTGTAGTGGGAGTTCACTTAGTTAATACATGTAAAAGGGCTCAGAACAGTATCTGGAACATAGTAAACAAAGTTGTTTGTTAATTGTTATCATTCTCTGTTACTTCATGGATAGTAGTATCAAGTACACATCAGGGCTTTGCTTTCATGCATTATCTTGGTACAGCTAAAAGGTGGTTCTAAATAAATGGCTTTTAAAAAAAAAAATTCCAGTATTATATATGAAGGATCTCCTTCATTGTTCTCCATTGGTTGATAAGTTTATGGGAGAGAAAGGGTATCTCTTAGTGAGATTGTTTACAATCTTTTGTTTCAGCAGTGAAACCCTTTTTTCAAATTACAGATAGAAATACAGCTTCTCTGATTGAAGTCGGGGGAGGTGACTCCAGGTTATCTCCGTCTACTTCCTACCCTTTAGTGCCCTGACTGCCTCTGGGAACCCCTGGACTTAGATGTACTGCAGACTGAGAACCACCAATCCACAAAGCACACCACAAAACACAGTGGGCAGTGACTGAGAAATACTATTAATTCTCAGGTTCTGTGAGAGGCATGTGTCCAGGAGTCCTTCCTCCCAATCTCAAATTGTCTCTACTGAGTTTCCATTATATAGTCACTGTTGACTGCTTTGTTTAACTGGCAGGGTCTGCAGTTTGGTACCAGTGAACTGGAGGAGATGGGAGCCATGTTCTGCTTGGGCCTCCTCATCTTGGAACTCAAATCCGTGAGCTGCAGCCATCACCTCCTGACCCGTGCAGCAACTCTACTGAATGCTGAGGAAGAGGTGCTGGACCACTACCTCCAGCGGTAAGGTGCTCACAGGGGCATGAGGGAAATTTAGACCTTTGTGCTCCCATGGGAGAATATCTCAGAAATGAAAGTGAAATGGACCTGTGGGTCTTTGACAAAGAGAAAAGATGGAGGATTCACCAAATGAAGGTAGGGGCAGTAGTTCTCTATTGGAGCCAGATCTGGACATCCTCAGTTCTTGCTGAGCACAAGGAGGATGCTGCCTACTCGTACACATAAATGCAGATGTCAAGCTACATATATTTCCAAAGATGTATTATTAATGAGTTTTGCTCATGGTAAAGAAGATGAGCTGGGTGACATACATGCACATCTACATATGTTTATATTTGCCAGTTAAGTGTTTATATATGTACAGATATCATTTTGGAGTTGCTACTCAGCAAAAAGAAAAAGGTCATCACACTGCCAATAACTAGGCACCTGGGGACAAGAAATTCTTTAATCTTCTGGTTCTTAAATAGCAATGTTCCTTCTCAGAAGATGAGAGGAACCACCTGAATATGATGAACACATTGGCCCAGAGAACCTGACTCACATCCATGGAACGGAAAGCGTGGATCTCTGAGAACTGTGAGGAACATTAATGAGTCAAGAGAGGGATCACCATTATCCAAATGAGCTCTTTTGATACTCTTTACTGTAGACAAATATTTCAGACTTAACCAGATTCAGGGGCAAGAAGAGAAGATATAATGGCAATGTGAGAGAAGAAAAGATGAAGAAAAGTCAGAGATGTCCGCGCGAAGTCATTGCCTACATTCTGAGCAAGGGAATGGATGGTGGAATTGAGTTGTTCAGGGAGAAAGTGCCTGCTAGTAAATGAGAAAACATCTCATACAGTTCAAGTCCAAGGGCAGAGAGAAAGTCCTTAATACTGGAGCCATCTTATTTCTAGCTCATTTTCATTAATTTTCTGCCTGCCACTGTTAGGCTGCTGTATCAGTATGACTCCTCATCAAATGGCCAGTCAGGCCTAGAAACATCTAGCAGTGTAAATTAACACTGCTTTGGAAGGCACTGGTTTCTCTGAGACTTAATTACCTAAATGCAGTAATTGACTTGCTCATCACACTATGCTATAGATCATAGACTACGGAGACTTAAGTAAATCCAGACCTCTTTCCTCTCTAAAGATGCTGCCACTAATGTCTTTTGTTTTGACATCACAACCACTTCCAGTTACCACCGCTCCCTTCAACACCCCTCAGCCCCTCAAGGCTTGGCATGTTTGGCATCCTTGTGGTGTTTCAGCCTCTCTCTCTGACAGCAAGTGCTTCCACCTGCCAGCTTGTATATTTCAACTGGCCCTTTCATCTTTTCCTTTGCTAAGCTATCTTGGGTGCAGGCATGCCTGAATTTTCTTTCTTGTTTTCCTTTTCTCCCACCCCCTCCTCTGGTCCTCATTGAGGGAAGACTGAGCAGACCTGGCATTGCTTGCTTTCCCTGAATTGATTGCGCCCGTCTGTTTGATCCAATGCCGCGAGGATTAGTTGCCTGTAAACTGGAACAAGAAGAAATCTATCAAGTGCCTTTTCTAATTCAGGTCTAAAGAATTTGCTGTCAGGCTCCAAATACAACGGCAGCTATGTGGGTTATCATAAGAACATAGTATTACCTGCCGTCCATGCCATCCCACATAACCGACTATTCATTTTTAAGTTGCAACCAGTCCAAGGATATTGAAACCTGAGGTCTTCCCCTGAGCTCTGACCCTTCTTAGGTTGGTGCTGCTTCTTAATGGCAGGACGCTTCCACATAGGATGTGATTGATAATGTGTGTTTTGAATAGATCTGAATTAAATTTGAGAGGCGTGGAGTCTGGGTGAAGACCGCAAGATAGAAACTGCCTATTTCACCCAGACATTTGTTTCATAATATATTTTTCTATTCACTGAGGCAGTTGACCAAAACAGATTGTGGTTCCTGCCCAAAGGCCCTGAAAACTACATGGCTGAGAGGAAATTCACCCTGAAATGTCTTGACCCAGAAAATGTTTCAGCCAGAAAGTGTATGTTCATTGAAGGATAGCAGAGGGGAACTTCATAAAATAAAATCTATTGGTTTGAAACCAGCAACAGGCTGCTTGAGTGCCTCTTGATTAGCTGCTGATAAACAGGGCTAAATCATGAGATATAATAATCAGCAGAGCGAATACTAGGAATTTTGTTAGCAACAGGGTTCTTTTTATAATACAAAGGGTGTAACTAAGGTTTGTCAACACAACTCACCTATGCTTTAAAGAGGAGGCCTCTGCCGCCCTCCTCCTCTCCGGCCTCTTTCCTGGGAGTATTTGCTATAACAGGGCTTATACTTCAGGACGATTCTTTTTATCTTGCACAGAAATACTGGAGAAAAGAACAGGGCAAGCTCTTACCTAAAACTTTATTTTAAAGAAATGGGAGGACATAATATTTTGAATCTTCTTGGCCCCACAGACAGTGTTAACCCCTGAGAGTGATGTGCTGGGAACATAAAGTGTGGCTGTACGCCATGGACATCATGTTTTCTGACGATGGTTTTCATGCCTCATTTACCATAAAAACAATCAGAGTGTAGTCAACATCCACAGAGCGACTTACCATTTTTCCTGAGCGGAGAAGGAGCAGAAATGGTTGATGTTTGCCCAATGGCTGAAGCTTAAAACATCGTGCATGCATTCTTCTTTTGGCTTTTCTTTTACAGTTCTCTCCTTCCTCGTTGCTCATTTGAGAAATGTCTGCAGCCTCATTAAGGCGTCTTTTGATATTCTTTCCTTTCGTCTCCCTTTCCCCTTCCTTTCAATCTTAGCTCTGGAAATTGTGTGTGCACTGCAGGCATGCTAAGCTGCTTCTTCAGGAGGCACCGTTTATCCACTGTGACAGGTCTTTTGCAAAGTCATTTAACAGTTTTGCCGAGTCAGCCGCTGTTCATCTCGATTTGTATCCCTCCATTGCCTCCTGCTTTCTCAGCTGGGCTCCCCTATCTCCATTTGTCCCTCCATTAATAACAGGAGAAAGCTCAGAGTTCCTGAGCTGTGTCCTAGGAATGGCTCAGTAGCTCACTTCTTCTCCCACATTATAGTCCCATTACTTTAACTGGGCTCCCCTTAGCATCAAGATAAGTTAGTTTAGTCCTCTCCTTAGTTTGATGAGGCAACACTAAAAAAATAGAAATCTTTCATTGACTTTAGAAAACATCATTATATTTTTAATAATTCAAAAGATACTTGATTTTCATTTTTTTAAACAAAATACAATTGTCTTTCTGAATAAGAAAATATAATGTGAAAAACACACAAAATCACCCCATCCCTGTCTTCAATCACCCATATTCCAACCACCTATAAAGAACCATTGCCAGGGACCAGCCTGGTGGTGTAGTGGTTAAGTTCGCGTGCAGCACTTCAGCGGCCTGGGGTTCACCAGTTCGGATCCTGGGTGCACACCTACACACTGCTCATCAAGCCATGCTGTGGTGGCATCCCATATACAAAATAGAGGAAGATGGGCACAGATATTAGCTCAGGGTCAATGTTCCTCACCAAAAAAAAAAAAAGAACCATTGTCAACATTTTGGTGAAATTATATTATTTTTTTCACCAATGAATAAACGGACATATAATACCCTTAACAACAATGTAAAGGAGTGCCCTTTCCTGCAACTTTATAAGCACTTTTTTTAAATAGACTTTATTGTTTAGAGCAGTTTTAGGTCCACAGTAAAATTGAGAGGAAGGTACAGAGATTTCCCATATAACCCTTGTCCCCACACATGTGCGCCTCCCCTATTATCAACATCCCCCACCAGAGTGGTAAATTTGTGACAATTGATAAATTGACATTGACATAACATTATTGCCCAAAGTCCATAGATTACCTTAGGGTTCACTCTTAGTGTTGGACATTCTATGGGTTTGGATAAATGTATAGTGTAAGTGTATCCGTCACTGTAGTACCACACAGAGTAGTTTCACTGCTCTAAAAATCCTGTGTTCCCCCTGTTCATCCCTCCCTTCTCACTGATCCTGGCAGCCACTGATCTTTTTGCTGTCTCTGTAGTTTTGCCTTTTCCAAAATGCCCTATAGTTGAAATCATACAGTGTGTAGCCTTTTCACATTGGCTTATTTCTCTTAGAAATATACATTTAAGTTGCTTCCGTATCTTTTCATGGCTCAATAGCAAATTCCTTTTCAGTTATTGTTGTTAGTGCCAAGGAGTTGATTGTGACTCCTAGTGACCCCCTGTACAGCAGAGCGAGACACTGCCCAGTCTTTTTTGCACTATCCTCTCACCTTCTGGCGCTGTATCAGACAGTGTTCTGCTACTACTCATTGCATTGTCAACGCCAAGGTTTTGGAAGTGAGTGGTCAGGTCCTTCTATATCGTCTGTCTTAGTCTGGAAGCTCCACTGAAACCTGTCCACCATGGATGACCCTACTGGTATTTGAAATACCACTGGCATAGCTTTCAGCATCACAGCAACACACAGCAGCCACAGTATGACAATCCACAGATGGGTGGTGTGGTTCCTTGATGGGGAAATGACCGGGGGCCATGGCAGTGAGAGCACTGAATCTTAACCACTAGACCACCAGGGCTGGCTCCATTATTTCATTGAATGGATGTACCATAGTTTATCTATTCACCTACTGAAGGACATCTTGGATGCTTCCAATTTTTGGCAATTATGAGTAAAGCTGTTATAAACATCCATGTGCAGGTTTTTATGTGGACATAAGTTTTCAATTCCTTTGGGTAAATACCAAAGAATCTGATTGCTGGATCATAAGTTAAGAGTATATTTAGTTTTGTAAAAAACCCCCAAACTGTCTTCCAAAGTGACTGTACCATTTTGTATTCCCATCAGTGATGAATGAGAGTTCACATTATTCCAAATCCTTGTCAGCACTTAGTGTTGTCAGGGTTCTGGATTTTGGCCATTCTAAAAAGTGTGTAGTGGTATCTCACTGTTGTTTGAATTTACCATTTCCTTGATGATGTGTGATGTGTTACAT